TTAAACCCTGGAATAAATTGCCTCGGAAGGCTGTGGAATCTCCATCATTGGATATTTTTAAAATATTTGGAGATATTTAAGAGCAGGTTGGACAGACATCTATCAGGGATCATCTAGATGGTGCTTGGTCCTACCATGAGGAAAGTGGACTGGACTTTGATGACCTCTTGAGGTCCCACACAGTGCTAGTATTCTATGCTTCTCTGATCCACTCACAGCTCTTCTGATCTATTATTGCTATGAATCTCTCTTTCACCTCAGCCAGATTTCAAGTCTGCTGGAGAAAAGAATGAAGCCCGTGATTTAGGCTACATCTAGACTGCATGCTTCTTTCGGAAGAAGCTTTTTTCGTAAGAGATTTTCCGAAAAACTTGCTCCGAAAGAGAGCATCCACACTGCAAAAGTGCATTGAAAAAGCGATCTGCTTTTTCGAAAGAGAGTGCCCAGACTGAATGGACGCTCTCTCACGTGTAAGCTGTGATTGCTATGGCCACCAGGGCACTTGTGCTTTTCCCCTTTCCTCTTCTTCCGAAAGAACTCCCTCTTCCCCGTCCACACGTGCCTTTTTGCAAAAGAGCTCTTTCACAAAAAGGCTTCTTCCTCATAGAATGAGGATTACCAATGCTGGAAAAGCCCCTCTGTTCTTTCAATTTTCTTGCGGAAGAATGCAATTGCAGTGTGGACGTTCCTCAAGTTTTGTTGAAAAAACAGCCTTTTTTCCAACAAAACTCGGTAGCGTAGACATACCCAGAGTAAAAATGTTTTCAAAGTACATGGGCAGGGCAGGGATTTTGTCTTTCCATGTGTGTGGATAGTGCCTGGCTCTGCTGCTTGAATCCTGTACAGTAACCATAGGACAATGCTGCCACCTAGAGCATAAACGTGTTCATATTTATAGAAAACAATCGCGGAGTTGTACCAGAGACTCTGGCTATATCTAGACTGCAGGTTTCTTTCAGAAGAAGTTTTCTGGGAAGAGATCTTCTGAAAAAACTTCTTCCAAAAGAGAGCGTCTACACAGGAAAGGTGCATTGAAATAGCGGCTGCTTTTGCGGAAAAACTTGCCAGCCGTCTACACTGGCCGCTTGAATTTCTGCATGAACACTGACGATCTCATGTAAGAAATCAGTGCTTCTTGCAGAAATACTATGTCCTTTCTGGTTGAAATGGCAAGAAAGGACATTGGCAATCAGAAAGGACATTGTCTCAATGACTTAATTACCTGCATCCTGCTTCAAAAGCCTTTTAAGACTGCACTTGAAAGAGAATCCTCTGAACTGTTATTCATGCTAAAATTCGACACTTTACGCCAGGGTCTTAACAAAGACTCTAGTTATCTTACCCATTAGAAAGATAGCTTCCCCAATTATCACCTCTAATATCATTAGCTCACAGACATTTACCTCCCTCCCCCCCCCCGCATCCCCCTTCTGTTCTGAAATTTGATTTGTCCTTGTCATATGTGTTCATTTTTTTAATTGTATCCTTTGGTATACGTATATGGTTGTGACTATTTTCTTACACTATTTGATCTGAGGAAGTGGGTCTGGCCCACGAAAGCTCATTATCTAATAAACCATCTTGTTAGTCTTTAAAGTGCTACATAGTCCTGTATTTTGTTCTAGACCTTTAATCATTCTTGTTGCTCTTCTCTGGACCCTCTCCAATTTCTCCACATCTTCCTTGAAATGTGGTGCCTAGAACTGGACACAATATTCCAACTGAGGCCTAACCAGTGCAGAGTAGAACGAAAGAACGACTTCTCGTGTCTTGCTCACAACACACCTGTTAATGCATCCTAGAATCATGTTTGCTTTTTTTGCAACAGCATCACACTGCTGACTCATATTCAGCTTGTGGTCCACTGTAACCCCTAGATCTCTTTCTGCAACACTCCTTCCTAGACAGTCACTTCCCATTCTGTATGTGTGAAACTGATTGTTCCTTCCTAAGTGGAGCACTTTGCATTTGTCTTTATTAAACTTCATCCTGTTTACCTCAGACCATTTCTCCAATTTGTCCAGATCATTTTGAATTATGACCCTATCCTCCAAAGAAGTTGCAACCCCTCCCAGTTTGGTATCCTCTGCAAACTTAATAAGCGTACTCTCTATGCCGATATTTAAATAGTTGATGAAGATATTGAACAGAACCGGTTATACCTTTCCAGCAGGATTGTGGGGGCCCCCCCCCCCCCTTCCCCCACCCCACATATACACAGCACAGGGACATGGGTGCGGTCTCGGGGCAGCTCCCACTCCCAGGGATGGCTGGACATTTCGACCATGGCCTCTGTGCAAGCACAGCAGCTCTGACAGTGCAGGACACGGTCATCCTCGCCTTGCAGAAGGGGCCTGGACGTCACCCACTGTGTCCCCAGGGAGAACTGCCCACTTGTCTTGTTTCTCCACAGCTGCACCAGCTGCGCGTGCAGGGCGCATCACTCCGCCCGGGGCATGCTCCCGCACCCGAAGGCTCCGCAGGTCCACCCGAACAGTGCATGGGGGCACTGCGAGCCCTGCACCGCACCCTCCAGAACTGGGTGCAAGAAGACCTGCAGCTCCGGCGGGAGCAGCTTGCCCAGGGTCGTGCCATCTGCCAACACCTGCAGGCCCTGGTGCAGAGCGTGCTGCTTCCTGCTGCTCCAGCACCTGCTGCCTCCCCAGGTACCGCTTCTCCTCCCACTCCTTCTCCCCCTCTCACTTCTCCCTCTACACCCTCCTCAACCTCCACACCCTCCTCCCCATGCCCCTGGGGACGCCAAGGCCCCCGCATTCGCAGTGCTGGGAGACAGTTGGCCCGGCGAGACCCCCACCACTGAGCTTCCCCTCTCCCTTCTTCCCCTTGCTTCCCCCTTCCAGCTCCCTCCTCCTAGGTTTCCCCCTCCCCTCTCCCACTCTCTCTCCTCCCCTCTCCAACCTCCTTTCCTCAGTCTCCCCAGAGTTTCATCCCCCCCCCCCCCCCCCCCTTTTTTTTATAAAAACAATG